AAATGGTTTGTGTAGTCCGCCCTCTCCCCGTCGACTCCTCTGAGGCAGCCATGGCCAAAGTGGTTATAAACATCAATGTTCATGCTCATTAATCCAGTACAATCCAAATTTTTACCTGGATTATTGAGCATGAACTTTGATGTTTTTAATCACTTTAGCCATTGCTGTCTCAGAGGAGTCGACTGGGAGACGGCAGACTACACAAACCATTTTATCACCATCAAACTGGTTGGCCCAGAGCGTGCTACTTATGGGACTGAGTTTGTTGTGGCTCCTCGGACTGATGAAGTCCTTTGGATGAAAGTCGAAACGTTTCAACAAATAGGAACAAACGTTTAACCACCTACTGTATCCTATTAAATATTGACAATTGATTTTGGACCATGCCTTAAAGTCCATGGCACACTATAATATTTAGAGAACTTTTGTTGACCTGTGTAAATTTTGTCCAACATACAGGCATGTGCTGAAGATGGAATTTAAATAAATAAATAAACTGGAAGCCCTTTTTTTTTTTTGATGTATACATACCACATTGTGAGCAAGTTGAATAAATATATAACCTATGAATAAAAAAGGTTGTTGCATTGTTTTTGGACAGTTTTGAATTTTGAGTGTACTGTCATGACACTTGGAGATGATCTATGGGTTAAAAGCTGGCAACTCAGAGGAGGGGTTAGAGTGGAGTGAGAGTCGAGTGGGAGTTGAGTCTTAAGAACCTTGGAGAGGCTTCTTCTGAGCTCCATCTTGGACGGAGTTGGCCTGCTGATATGTGGAGAAGTTCATATGAAACTTTCTCAAACACCACGGAATGATGCAACAACAAGGCACTGCCTTGCCACATGAGACGTGGTCCTGGAAAGCCGTGTCCCTTCCTGTGACAGCGCGAACCACATCGCCTTTGCATCATATCTACTTGGTAATGAGCTCTGTGGGTCCTAATGAGATGAAATCTCCTCCTTGTGATGAAGAACGACTCCAAGTGCCAGATTAGTTTAGACATTTTAATTTAGTCCACGAACCTCAGATAAGTTTACCTAATTTTAAGCATTAATTCCAAATTTAGATAACATCTCTCCTCAAAGCTAAAGCTATTTTTACATCATTCATCTTCTCTGATAATGTTACTGGTTATATACATTCACATTTCAACAATGTTGTTATAATTCACAATTGTCAATAAAGGTTACATACAATATGACTTTCTGTGTGTTCTGTTCATGAAGGGGATTATAGCATGGTAACAAACTCATGGTTTTGATCAGGGATTGGTCGATTTATTATTTGAGTTTTTGACCACTCCTCTTTAATAAAGTATACATACATTCCTGTAGCGTCCATCCTTCCAAGAACCTTAAGACAAATGCTCAGAGACACTATGTCTACTCATAGTGTCACACATCCTTAACAAAGGGTCATTGTATTATCTTCTCTGAAGAACTTTGAGAAGGGAGATTTTAATTACATTAATTATACAATGGGATACTCCTTCTGTAAGAAGCCCTCTGATTGGTTAAAAGTTAAGGGGCCCGTCTTCCTGGTGCCAGGTATACTGAACACCGAGGGAGTTGTGAGACGGCAGCCGATGAGGAAAGTTGGCTTTGGATCATCAGATGAGCTGAGCAGATGGAATGAGTGGTTGTGGAGAGTTGATGAGACTCTCCGAGAAACAACAGCCATATGATGGAAGACGTGCCCAGCTGAGAGATGGTGGACCTCGTGAAAAACCTCAAACACACAGGAGCTAAAGGTACGAGCTGAACAAACCGCAGCCCTGAGAAACGACATCCTTCTTAGGACAGCGGGCCACCGGCTTCCTTCATGCATCCGCTGTGGTAATGAGATGAACATCTTCCTTCTGATGAGAGGACCACTGAACAGTGCCAACTAAGTTTGTTTAGATAATTTAATTCATGAATCTGAGATAAACTTACCTAAATTTTAACGCTAAGAGCTAGCCCTTAGTCCAAATTGAATCAAAACCCCTTCTCAAAGTCCTCAGATTTATGCCATCCATCCATTATCTTTACCCGCTTATTCCATTTTGGGTCAGGGGAGTTGCTGGTGCCCATGTCCAGCAATCACTGTGCGAGGGGCAGGGTACACCCTGGACGGGTCGCAAGTCCATCACAGGGACACATAGAGACAAACGAGACAAACAACCATTCACTCTCTCATTCACACCTAGGGACAATTCAGAGTTACCAATCAGCCTAACATGCATGTTTTTGGTCTGTGGGAGGAAACCGGAGCACCCGGAGAAAACCCACGCATGCACGGAGAGAACATGCAAACTCCACCCAGAAAGGCCCCTGGACCGGGGTTTGAACCAAGGACCTGCTCGCTGAGAGGCAGCAGCTCTACCAGTTGCGCCACCGTGCTGCCCAGATTTATGCCATTTACTTTCGAAAATAATATTATTGGTTGTGCATTCATATTCAATATTTGCCATAATTTGCATGTCATAATTCAAACTGAAAATAAACGTTACAGAACTGTATTTAAATTACAGATTATTCGTGTTTTCTTTGAGGGACAGGAATTAAGTTCACTACAAGAACTCATGGTTTATATATGTTTGAGGTGAGGCCGGTCCAGAATAACACCTGTTAAAGGGGAGGAGTTTGACTGGACCGGAAGTCCAATATCCTATACATATATTCCCCTACACTCCTTCACTGTAATGAACTTAATTAGTGAAAATGAAAGGTATGCAACCAAACATAGAAAAAGTGATCCTAAACTCTATACAATGATGCAGCTACATTGATGCATCAGGTACATTGATGGAAGTCTGAAACGTGGGCCCGCACTCAATGTAAACAAAGAACTCTGCTGAATCTGACAAAATCACGTTGAAGCTTGAATCACGTAATGGACCTACATTAAATGAGCTGTAGTCTACAAATATTGGTAACACTTTACAATAAGGTACGCAAAATTTGATTACCTACCAGGAAACACCTCAGGAACAAACCAGGAGCTAATGGATAGTTAACCAGTACTTACTGGAAAACACACAGCCAAGCCTTATTAGGAGACTACTGGTTAGTTACCTTGTAAATGAAGAGGAGCTGATCAAGAATGGGTAGTTAACAAGGAAACCAACAAGGAACGAATCAGGAGCTAACAGTAGGTCATGGTCAGGTATTGGTTCCTCAGTAAGTACTTGGTATGATGCTTCACTACATTAGTGAACAAAATAACAGCCAGGCAATGATTTGGTACTCAGTAAGTGATAGTCAGACATAGTTAAGATAACAGCAGAACAAGATTATGAACTTGATAATCAGTGGTAAGAATCCAATAAAACCAGTAATCACTAGGAAACAGTTTTTTGACAATTACGAGCTGTGACCTCACTGGTGCAGGGTTTATTGAGAACCCAAATGGAGAATTCCTCCTCTGTTTCTGTGGTAACAAACCAGTAGTCCCCTAATAAGGCTTGGTTTTGTGTTCCCCAGTAAGTACTGGTTAACTATCCATTAGCGATTCATTCCTCTTTGGGTTCCTTGGTAACTACCCATTAGTTCTTGATTAGTTTCTCTTCATTTACAAGGTAACTAACCAGTAGTCCCCTAATAAGGCTTGGCTGTGTGTTCTCCAGTAAGTACTAGCTTATTCTAAGTTCTAGCTCCTGATTTGTTCCTGAGGTGTTCCCTAGTAGTTAATCGAATTTTGAATGCCTTATTATAAAGTGTTACACAAATATTTCGAGTTGGACAGGCGTAGAGCGTCTGAGAAGACATTTACGTGGACATATTAGATAGAGTCTGCTGCTAACAAGAAAGAAACAAGAAAAACTAGAAAGACCAGTGTTGAGATGAAATATTGAGGATCCAGCAGTCTGAATGTGAATGTAAACACACACCAATGCATCAGAAGTGTCTGACTTCTCCGTCTCATACTGCTCTTCCCTGGACATTGCCATTGTTAACGTATTTTCAGTCCCCGCAGCTGTTTCTCTAGTTCAGCAACTCACCTGGTATTTGGCAGCCGGTAACAACTTTTCTTCTCCTGTTTTCCAGTCGTGATTCAGAGACAACTTTTCTGATCATTAACAACAGATAAAGATCCAAATCATGTGAGCTGAGATGTTTGAAGCTCCACTTCATCTCTATGAGGAGAAAGGCTCCCTCTTGTGTCGTTCATCAGTTTTCAGGTTTTCTTTTTCATCCTGCAGGAAAAACGGATCTACTGAGACTCTGACGACTTTATAACAAAACAAGAAAAGAGGGGTGAAGTCAGTCATCAGACTGGAGTCACATCCAAAACTAAAAAAGATTTATTCATTATCGACCACTCTGACGTTTCTTTACGCACAAAAATGCAACATTTTGTTCTAATTATTTATCAACTTCTAACAGGGAGTCAAAAAGTAAATCACATTATTTGATCAAAATCTGGCATTTGTCCAAATGATCAAAATAAAAATGTCAAAGTGGATGTTGGAGAAAAATGTTTTTATTTGATCTGAAGCATCATGTCATTACCACAATCATACAAGTGTAATATTAACAACACCACTCTTTTACTTTGAAATTTAACATTTAGAAATGGTTTATTATGAAGTAGATCATAAAATGTGCCTCTGTTGTTTGAATCAGTTCATCTCATGTTTTCTGATTCGTTACATTTTAATCTACATCTGTGACTAAATAATAGCAGCTCTCATCTGTCAGCAGAAGGAAAATGTTTCGAAGTGAAACGTGTAAAAAGAGAAAGTTGTGGAATTGCAGCGTCACCAAACATCAGTTCTTGTATCTTAAGAATCTTTCTCCGAGTTAAAAAGTCTGAACCAACGAGACAGTTTCATCTAAAATATTACATTTTACAGAAAAATACATCGTCTCACCTGTTTTAGGACTAAAATAAACCCTACTGGCAAAATGTGGTCAAAGTTCTTGGTTCTTGTAATTTTTCAGGTCTGTTCAAAGTAGTTTTTATTTTGCTCGTGCATCAACGACCTGAATAAACCAGAGCTGCACCTAAAACAGATCATGGGACAATAATGTCCACAAAAACTGTTGGACACGTTGATCTCTGAGCAGTGGAGACAACACAACAAGAAACTTCCAGCAACAAACAAGAACAGACAATTATTTCAGTTTACAGATCTCAGCTGTGGCTCCATACTTATAGAGAAATATTCCAGCATGTAGTGGTCGAGTAAAGGAGGTCTGGACTTTGTGGAGGAGAGTCATGGTCTCAGAGACGCTGTAGAAAGACAGAACACCTGCTCTGTGATCCAGGTACACTCCAACTCTGGACAAAACACGATCTGAGATGGGAGTGCTGATGTTGTTGTGAAGAAACTGATTACTGTTTAGGTAACAAACTAAAGACCAGGATTTATCATTAAATCCAAATACACTCCTTTTTTTATCCACATCCTTGTATGCGACTGCTACTCTACCTCCCGTTTCTCCCAACTTCACCTCCCAGTAACAACGTCCAGTCAGACTCTCTTTACTCAGAATCTGAGGACATGAAGTGAACCTCCCTGGATGATGAGGATAAAACTGATCTTGAAGGAAGTGTGTTACTTTTCTGTTCCCCTCAGATAATAACAGGTGTTTGTGAGCTGTGTTTGGATCCAGAGTGATCTCACATGAATATCTGAAGAAGTCAGCTCTGCTCTCTGGTTCTGGTTCTGGTTCTGACAGTAAACCTTCAGCCCCTCTCAGTGAGATGTTTGTCCACGTGTCTCTCAGGGTGTCCTGCAGTTTGTCTCTGAGCTGTGACACAGCTGCTGTCACATCTTCAAAGGATCTCAGAGGAGCAACATCGATGCTGGATGAGTGTGGAGACTCACCCAGTGCTGACACTGACTGGTAGTTGTGGACAAACTGGTTGTGGTCCTCTGTGTGTGAGAGCTGCTTCAGCTCAGCATCTTTCCTCTTCAGCTCAGTGATCTCCTGCTCCAGCTTCTCCTGAAGCTCTCGGACTCGACTGGCCTCAGTTTCCTGCTGGGATCTGATCTGCTGCTTCACTTCAGAGCTTCTTTTCTGGACGAGCCGGATGAGCTCACTGAAGATCTTCTCACTGTCCTCCGCTGTTTTATCAGCAGAGACGTTGATGGCCTCCAGCTGCTGCTGAAGCTGCTTCACATCTTTCTCTCTGCTCTGGATTCTCTGCTGGATGTCCTCTCTCCTCACCTGGAGCTCCTTCTGCTTCTCTCTCCTTTCAGCCGCAGCTGAGACGATGTCGTGGCCTTTATGTTCATCCACCGTGCAGACATGACAGATGCTCTGCTGATCAGTGCGACAGAACATCTTCATCACCTCATCGTGGCGAGAGCAGATGTTCTCATGGAGCTTCTTGGAGGGCTCCACCAGCTGATGTTTCTTTAACTGAGCAACAGCATAATGAGGCTGGACGTGTTCCTCACAGTAAGAGACCAAACACGTCAAACAGGACTTGATGGCTTTTAGTTTTCTTCCAGTGCAGACATCACAGGCCACATCTTCAGGTCCAGCACAGCTGTGATCAGCAGGAGCAGCTTGGAGTCCACTCTTCTTCAGCTGCTCAACTAAAGCTGCTAGCATGATGTTTTTCTGCAAAGCAGGCCTCGGCGTGAAGGTCTTCCTGCACTGAGGGCAGCTGTGGATCTTCTTCTGATCCTCTCCATCCCAGAACTCTTCAATACACTTCATGCAGTAGCTGTGTCCACAGGGAGTAGCCACCGGATCCTTCAGTAGATCCAGACATATGGAACAAGAGAAACTCTCTCTGTCCAGCTGAACTCCTTTCTGCGCCATTTCACCTCTCAGCGTCTGTGGAAGTTTCACTTCCTGATAACTGAAACCAGTCTGAAACCAGTCTGAGCTCAGATCGACACGTCATGTGTTTGTGCAGAGAATGAGGAGTGTCAGCACCTCCCCTGATCATTGAACTGTAGATCTGATGGGGAGGGAACAAAGAAACTCTGTGAACAGAGTGACGCTGCTGTTTGAGAGCAGGAAGGAGAAGGAGGAGGAGGAATCACAGCAGAAACTTCAAGGTTCAGTTTCAACTAAGACATTGTTAGATCAGTGGGTAGAAGAGGTAAGACCATTAAAATAAATCATTTGCTCAGATTCTAGTTCATCATTGGCCAGTTTGCAACATAAACAGTCAGATAGTAGACAAGATACATGAACTGAAATACAACAAACACTTTATAGGATCAACATGAAGGGGCTTACAGTAAATTTTATATGGGTTCCAGCACATCACAGGGTTATGGGGAATGACTTGGCAGACAGGGTGGCTAAGGAGAGCACCAATCAGGTACTGGTTGATATTAATGTTAGGTTTAGTATAACAGAAATTAAGAGTATAATAAAATAAAAAATGAAAGAGCGTTGGCAAAAGTTATGGGAGGACAAAAGGAAAGGGCGATGCTTTTATAAAATCCAAAGGAAAATTGGAGAAAGGAGAAGAACAGAAAGGAACAGGAGATAAGAAACGATTATTTCACGACTCAGAACTGGGCACACTGGACTGAACAGCACATTATTTTTAATAGGGAAACATAAGATAGGGAAATGTGACTGTGGGGAAAATGAGACAATAGAACATTATTTTGCATTGCAGGAATTACCAGGTTCAGAGAAACAAGTTAGTTAAGGATCTTGGTACCGTATTTTTGCTGTATAAGTTGTTTTTTTTGCATAATTTACATGCCCTGTGACTTATATGCCGAAGCGACGTATTTATGGATTATTTTTCCCGATATTTATAAGCCAACTTTTGGCTGAGATATGACCGTTTTCATTCATTCTGACTGAAACTATTGAACACTACCATTTTCAGCCGCTAGATGGCAGTGGAGTAGTATGGCATGCCGTTGTGTCATGTAATAGGTAAAGTGGCTATTAATGACACAATCAGCTTGCCACCTTCGTTTTGGTCGCTTGGAGCAACCGTCAAATTAGTTTCATTTTGCTGCACTGCCCCGGCAAAATGCAGCTGATTTGACCATTGAAGTGCATTTATTAAGTAAAAGTTCAACTGAGACACGCCTTTACTATAATGTTGAGCAAACAAATAATTGGTTTTAGGTTGGCGTTAAATTTTGAAGACATGCATAGCGAGTCCTCTCATGCACGCACCTTTTTCTGTGTATCAACTTTTGAAATGCAGCTGATTTGACCGTTAAAGTCCATTTATTAATGTAAAGTTAGACTGAGACACACCTTTACTATATTTTTGATTTCGATCAGCCTCGCTCAGTCTGCTCCTCCTCAGGACGGGCAGATTGAGCGGAGCAGATTGGATGCGGCTGGCCGGGGTCGAGTCGCCTGTTTCGGGTTGAGCAAAGAGCAGCGCCCCGCTGAAGCCACGGAGCTCAAATGTCCAAAGTAAAACTAACTTTACCGCGGTTTAATGTGGCGCTATGGCTCTGTAGACATTGCACGAGGAGTAAAATGAAATAAAATACTTTAATGATACAAAATAAAGATGCTGACGTGGCATTGACGTTGTGGTAACGAGAGATGGACACCTCCCTGGTAGGACAAACGTCTTCCTTCTGATGAGAAAACAACCAAGTGCCAGCTTAGTTTCTTTTAGATGCTTATAATTCATTCACGAATCTGAGATAAAGTTTACCTACATTTTAACGTTAGAGCTAAAACTTTAGTCTAAATTGAATATACCTCTTCTCAAAGTCTTCAGACTATTTATTTCAGTCACCTTCTGAAATACTTGGTTATTCGTTCATATTTCATATTTACTAAGTACATCTTGTCATGAGTCACAAGCTGAAAATAAACTTTACAGAATTGTTTACTTAAATGACCAGATTCTTTGTCTTTGAGTTAGATAAATGTCAATAAATATAAATATAATTTTTAGCTTATGACAGACAGAATGGGAGGAATTAAAATATTGTTAAAGGACTCATCATTCTTTTGATTGAGGTCGGTCAACATTTATTACATAACTTTGAACAGTTACTGTAAACACCTGTTAAAGGTGCTCAGACCTCAACCATTACCCCTACACTTGAGTAAAAGTCTTAAAGTAGCTGACATTTATTGTACTTAAGTATCAAAAGTAAACAACAAAGTCCATGCTCAATAATCCAGGTATACAATCCAACATTTTTCTATCAGGTCATCTGGACACTTTCTTTTTTTTTTGTGCTGAAACGTTTCGCCTTAGATCCAGAAGGCTTCATCAGTCAAGGAAACACACAACAAAACTGATTCTTCCTCCAACAGCTTACTGTAAAGTGGAACAAACCAGTTCTGCTTGTGATAAGATGGTCTCTTTGGTGCGCCCTCTCATCCATTGCCGGCCCTCTTCCTTGTTGACAGTCATGTCAAACTGGTTGAAAACAACAAAGTCCATGCGCAAAAATCCAGGTACGCCGGGGCATATTTCCAAAAGAACATTTATCGGGTGCAATATCCAATGACAAAAATATGGAAAGTTTGAACTGAACAATGAAAGACTACCCTTTAAAAAGTCTGATTCCAATGAAGTATATTAATTCAACCTTTATTAACCTTTATTAACAAAGCTGTTAGAAAGCCCACATTGTTGTGTAGTTGGCTTGATTGCTGAGTTAGGTTCTGTTTGGTTATGGCTTGTTTCTTTCTGAATTTAATAGTTCCCATGGTCTTGAATGCAGCGTGGCTGTTCTGACGCCAGTGAACGCACCGCTCTGTGTAAAGTGTAGAGCTCAGTTGGAGGTTCTTTTTTTCTCTCCCAACATGGATGTAGCCTTGCTGTTCAATCTTGTTTGCACTTTACTGGTTTACTGCTGTGTGTAAATACCAGAAGAAACACAGCAAATAAATCACACTAAACTGGACATCTGTCTCCGTGTTCTTTAATGGGAAGACCAGTAGCCTGACAACTTCACCTTGCTGCTCTAAAGCAGTTTAATGTCCTGGAGAACACCAAACCTCTCCTTTTTAGCAGCTACCGCCATTTTCACACCTTTCAGGAATTTACAGTGGCTCTTACATTTAATTTAATTTAATTTAATTAATTTACAGCTGCAGCGCGTAGTTTTCACATAAGCTGCGGGGGAGGGGCTGGGCAGTGTCAGTGAGGGAAAGAGAAGGGGCCGCGTGAAGGCACAGACTGGGGGAACAAACAGGCATTGCCCAATCAGATTTCTTCTAATTTTATATTGTAGGAACAAGATGGTTATGGGAAATGTATCAGAGTAAAGGTACACATTTTACTGAGGAAATGTGGTGGAGTAAAAGTGAAAGTCGCTAGAAATGTAAATAACAAAGTAAAGTAAAGATACGTCAAAATTCTACTTAAGTACAGTAACAAAGTATTTCTACTTCCTTACATTACAACACTGCACATGTCACAAGAAAATGTATTTTTTTTTTTTAAGTTATATCAACTTTATTTAAATGTTTTCTTGAAAATAACTGTGTCATCTCAAGTTAGTGAGATTTTTATTTTTATTTTGAGGTAACACTGTTAATTACATTATTAAACATGTCCATTCTTGGCATTTGTAACATGCCATTGTGGAACGTATGAAATAAAAATTCAAGCAAAATTAAGTCCTGCTAGCTTACTTTATGAAAGCCATATTTTAGCAATAGCACATTGTCACTTTTAACCCAGCGTGTGTTCAGTCAAGCTGGTAAATCAGGCCTTACAATACAGGAAACAATTATTTCTCTCCTGATAATCTGGATTAGAGTAACTCTCTTACCTCATCACCTGAGCACAGACTAGCAGAAGTACTCTCACCTGGCTGACTGCGCTCACCAACCTTCAGGTAGCTCTTACAGCAGTTTTTCAGAATAAGACAGTGGTGAAGAATCACACGTGTAGTCTCACTCAACCTTGACTTTGCTCAGCAGCAGTAGTGGCTTTTGTAGTCAGCTGCACACTATGACATTGTCTGCTTACCTCTTTGTCATATATTTCCTGGGTGGGCTGGTGGAGCATGTGTTAGAGACAGAATGTGTTGATGGTGACCCACTTCGCAGTGTGCACTCCTGTGGTGAGTGACAGACCTGCAGTCAGTTGGAAGTGGGAACAGTGCTCACCTGCTGTCACTTTGGTAACTGACACCAGTACCACTTTCCATAAGAGTATATATGTATTTTTTTTTCCATTTTTCAGAAGAATGCATCATGAATTTGTTGCAAAAAGTTGGAATCAGTTTGGTGGAAATGTGACAATGTTTAATGTTGCACACTCGAACAATGAAGACGTCGAGGTGTGCATTTGGTTGCAAACGATCTTTTTATTTTTTGACTTAGCTGCTCATTGTGGCCTTTATTATTTGGAGCATACCTGGTTTTCACCACAGAGCTAAGGCCTTGTCCACACAGAAATACAGTTTTTCCAAAAGGATCTTAGCTGTCATTTACAAAAAAATGTCCTTGTAAACTTAAATCCAGTTATATTAAAATTTTTACCTACACAGAAAAACCAAAAACAACCAAATATTTATGGTTGTAAGAGATTTGATTTACCATTTTTAACATTAAGCAAATAATTAACTCAACCTTTATTTATACAGTAGAGTCCCTTTGAGCCATGAGGACTCATTTACAAGATAGACCTGTTTCAGACAGACATGAAGTGTAGACAACAAAAACAATAAACAATAATGACAATAAACAATAAAAATATCATCATATAAAATAAAAATAGACTCGAATTAAATAAAAGTTAAAATGAAACTGGTTGGTCCACTGTAGGAGAGTACTGCTTAGTTGGGAAAACAGTTTGTTTGTGACTTCTCAGACTGATGAAGCCCTTTGGATGGAGGGTGAAACGTCTCTTGACACAATAAAGT